ATGTCAGGCTCCCTGCGTGGAGCTTGCTTCTCCCTCTGCCTCTCTCTCTCTCTCTCTCTCTCTCTCTCTGTGTGTGTCTCTCGTGAATAAATAAATAAAATCTTAAAAAAAAAACCTTTAAAAAAATAAACTGTTACCATTGTAATAACACAAGAAGCATGTGTTCCATGACTTCATAATTGATAATCACTCAAGATTTCTTTAACTCCCTCATTTTGAAGGTAGAGGGTAAAACCTTCCTAGAAAGGCCAATGATATAGGTAAATATAAATAGTGAATAACTATAGTTGTACACTTAATCATTCTTATAGGAACAAGAAGCTACATATAAATAAATGCTTTTAAAAGATGGTTATCAGTATAGAAATATTTGTGTAGTAGCACATGAGTATGTGAATAAGTACTGTGGAGCTTGGGTATTTAAAATGTTTGTTTTTCTTTTAACTGAGACCAATTAAATGAAACTATCCTGGTTATATTTTAGCATTCTTTCCATTCTTTCATGATGAAGATATAGCCAAAATAGAAGACTCTGTACCACAGGTGTTTTGTTCACTTTAGCTATCTGGACAGTCTATTAGGATTAGTATAGGACAACTGATTTCAATTATAAAGACAATTTAAATGAATTTATTGCCTAGAATTCCACTGCTAGGAATCCCACTGGCTATATTTTTTCAACACCTTATCTTTTACACTATTTTAAATGTCATACTTAGCCTGTAACATGGGAAGCAAACAGATTATCAATTTCACAAATTGGTCTAAAATAATATAGTAACAATAGGCAAATGTCTAGTAAGGTACTTTATATGCACTATCTCACTATATCTTCAAAAGGATCCTGTGAGGTAAGTAATAAACTTTTTAAAAAATCTTATAATACCTTTATTGAGATATAATTAATACACCTTAAATGATTTTAAAGTGTATAAACCAGTGGTTTTTAGTATATTGACACATTTGTGAAACATATTGGCCTAATCCAATTTTAGAAAATTTTCTTCCACCAACAAAAAAAAACCCTGAACCCATTGGCAGTCACACCCCATTCTTCCCTCCTTGTATCTCCTAACAACCACTAATCTACTTGTCTTTGCTGATTTCCCTATTCTGGACATTTCATATAAATGTAATCTTCATATAAATGATCTTTCATGGCTGTTTTCTTTCACTTGGCATGTTTTCAAGATTCATCCATGCTGTCGCATGCATCAGCATTTATTCCTTTTTATTAACAAAAAGATATTCCATTTAAGGGATATACCACATTTTACTTATCCATTCATCAACTGATGAACAGTTAGATGGTCTCCATATTTTGGCTATTATAACTATGCTGCTATGAACATTTGTGTGAACAATTTTTGCATAGACAAATATTTCCTTCTTTTTATTAATTTCAGGTGTACACTATAATGATTCAGCAGTTTTATACATTTCTCAATGCACGTGAAGGTAAATATACTCTTAATCTGCTTTATCTATTCTACCCACCCACCTCCCCTCTGGCAACCATGAGCTTATTCTCTGTATTTAAGAGTCTGTTTTCTGTTTGTCTTTTTTTCTCTCTTTGTTCATTTGTTCTGTTTCTTAAACTCAACATGAGTAAAATATGATACTTGTCTTTCTCTGACTTATTTTACTTAGCAATATATCCTGTAGATCCACCCACAATGGCAAGAGCTCATCCTTTTTTTATGGGTGATAATCCATTAGATACACACACATGCACAAACCCCGTATCTTCTTTATCGGTTCATCTATGGATGGACACCTGGGTTCTTTCCACATATTTTTTCAAATTAGTGTTTTTGTTTTTTGGGGAGTAAATACCCGGAGTAAACACCCAGTAGTGAAATGACTAGGTCTATGATAATTCTATTTTTAACTTTTTGAGGAACCTCCATACTGTTTTCCACCATGGCTATACACAGGTTTGTATTTTTTCTCCACGTCTTTTTAAAGATTTATTTATTTATTTATTCAGAGAGAGAGAGAGAGAGAGAGGCAGAGACACAGGCAGAGGGAGAAGCAGGCTCCATGCAGGGACTCGATCCCGGGTCTCCAGGACCACACCCTGGGCTGCAGGCGGCGTTAAACCGCTGCGCCACCAGGGCTGCCCTAGACTTATGCTTTCAATTCTCCTAAGTATACACTTAGAAGTGGAATTATTGGGTCATATCATAATTCTACGTTTAATTTTTTAAGGGATTGCTAAACTATTTTCCAAAGTGGCTGCACCATTTTACATTCCCAGTAGCAATGAATGAGCATTTCAATTTTTCCACATCCTCAACAACACCTGTAATTGTCTTTGTATTTTTGGCTATGCTAGTGTGTGCTGTGGGCATGTGCTTGATTTGAATTTTCCTAGTAACGAATGTTACTGAGCTTTTTTTCATATGCATATTGGCCATTTGTGTATCTTCCAGGAGAAACGTCTATTCAGCTACCTTGTCCATTTCTGAGTTGGGTTATCTTTTTATTCTTTATATTTTCTGGATTCTAGTATAATTTGCAAATAATTCCTACTATTATATAGGTTGTCTTTTTACCTTTTTGATCATGTCCTTTGAGGCACAAAAGTTTTGAAGTTTGATAAAGTCCCAATTTATTTATTTATTTTTCTTGTCAATTAGGCTTTTCATGCTGTATCTAAGAAACATTGCCTAACCCAAAATTTATGCCTATGTTTTCTTCTAAAAATATTTCTTAGTTTTGGGCCTTATATTTAGATATATAACCCATTTTAAATTAATTTCTGTATAGGATATGTTAAATCTCACTTTATAGAGGAAAAAACTTGGCAAAGTGTGGCTGAACAATATTCCCAAAGTATAATAGTGTTCAAGGGGCTGAGACAGGATTCAAGTCTAAACAAGCTAATTCTAGGGTCTGCACACTTACCCACAATATTATGCTACTTCTATATTGCAACTAAGGTCTTTCTCTTTTGTCAAAATAGATGTAAATTGATAGATTATAGGTTTTTGTTCCTTTAATTATTGGTGGGTAAGCAATGCAAAACTCGTAAGAAAGACCTCAATATTACTTCAAAAGGGATCATTAGTTTTCTGTTTTATGCAAAGAACTGCTGTAAGAATATGTAAAAACTTTAAAAAGCAGAGCCCATGTCTATATGCTATAAACATGCAATCTCTACAATGGAAATGGTTTACTGCTTTTACAATTAATCATTATTTTTGGTAACTGAAATCAGAAAAGTTTACCGAATGTTTCCTTTAATATACTAGATTCACATTCACTGACTTTATTAACCTGTATTATTTTCTAAAAATAATCCCCCCTATATTATATCACATTCTGTAAAAACTGATTCTTCAAAAGGTGATCATCTTAAAACCAGATAATGTCTAATTTATCTATTCCAACTAGTTTGTTTCTATAGAAATGTCAGTAAATGATATGTAAAGATACCAATTCTCATGCTAACCCTATAAAATAGCATTTCATATGAAGGTCCAGAGAAATTTGAAAAGTTAGTAACTTTGGAAAGGTAAATAACATTAACATAGATTAAGACATTGGTCTAGCAAGAGCTATTTCAGTTTTTTTATCATCCAATGTAATAGTCTACCCATCATATATCATAACTATATTTAGCACAGCAATCATTAATGTTTATCATCAATTAAAATTCATACAGAACTATCTGTTATCCCCTTTGTGAATGAATGACATTATATAGAGATTTCAGACCAATTTATTAAATAGACCTTTCAATTCTACCTGCTGTGCCAGTGACAGGTTATTAAAAAGACTAATTTTATCTTGGTAACAGAAGTTAGATATTTCTCAACTCTACTTTCCTACTACTTTATTATATATACAATTTAACACATATTTTGTTTCAAAGAAAGACATGTATTAGTTAAATGAAGAGCAATTTGCCTGTTTGCAGTTTCTTGCTGACTTAAAGCTTGATTTTAATTTGTGTTGTATGCTTCTGTTAATGAAATCTGTCTATTCAAAATAACTATTAAGGTCTATAACATAATGGATACATTCTCCTAGAATCTCAATAGAGGGTTTTTTGTTTTAACGTTAACTTCAGGCATCGTACTAGATGTCATTCAGAGAGTTGTTTTATTTTTTTGATTTCTAATGGGAACACTTTATGCTTCCAATGAGCTCTGTTACCAAAATCAATCTACAACTTTGCTAACATAAAGGGGCAATTTGAATTCTGAAAAGGTGGAAACTTAAGGCTTTGTGTTTTTCCCCCAATGGCACAAATATATTTCTGAAAGCAACAGAACCAAAAATTCTGACAACACTGGCTACATATAATTAATTGAATGACCAACTGAAGACAACTTCTCCAGAAAGCTTTGCCCTGAAAATTTTAGTATTTCATCCACTCCTGACTGAGAAGCATACAAATGTTTATATTACTCTTTGACTTCTCAGAACAGAACCAAAGGACAGGCTTTCCCAAAAGCCATATAAGCTCTGTGTAGGATCGCTATTATCCTGGGATACTAATGCAAGACCAAATATAAGTTTATGAATAAATTTATTCTTCAAAGTATAATGTGTTCAAAAATAGTCAAGTCCATTTGTCAACTTCAAATATGGCTAAGAGAAATAAAAATGAAATATAACCAATATAAAAAAGCTTTCTAGATATGAAAAAAAAAACTAACAATGCATTGGGTACCAGCAGAATAAGTTCTTCTAGAAGAAGCCAAAGAGATGTAAAAGAGAGTCCTTTAAGGCAATAAAGTACTCAAACTCCATGCTAAATGGGGGAAACATTTTATAGAAGAAAATGTTATAAGATTCCATATTTCTAATCCCTATTTCTCCTGGGAAGCTAAAGAATATAATGTTCATACTCAAGGCTGATTATATTATAGGAAGACTTCTGCTAAACAGAGAGGCAACTGGGACTTGGAAGAACTCTATTTGCTTGAAAAAAGAAGAGGTCACTTCATAATAAAAAGGAAGGTCATAACCAGGGTACCTGGGTTTACCTTTGCTTTGCGAAAGTGGTAGACCACCAGCATGCTAACGAAGTCGAGCAGCATACACAGGGCTTGGAAGGAGATGATAGCAAGTCGCAAATACTTATCCTCCTGGACAAAGCAGGGGCTGTCATCAGCACAGTAGGGGCAGCCCTCCCTGCAGGGTAGGCAGACATGGACTTCTTCTGACACATCTTTTGCACTTCCTGAAATTTCCAAATAAAACCAGTGTCATTGCACCTCTGAGATAGGTGAGATCAAGTACACAAAACACATCCTCACTTCTTCATTACTTATCCCTTTTATTAAAGACCTTTTATCAACCTTCTTGCTAGGGTAGAGAGCTACTTTGCTTTTAGACTCAAACAAAATTCCTTTTGTCCTTTTGATTAAAAAAATGTCATTCAGAGTAATAAAAAATAGCAAAAACGGAAATAAAACTCCTTAAAGATATAGTTTTCCAATTCTGTCACCTCATTATCTACCAATTACCAAATGATACTTTCTATGCCATAAATCATATTCCATAAATATGTGTTAAAGAATTAGCCAGAAGGAAGGTAAGAAAGTTATCTCTTTTCTGTACCAAGTAATACTCAACACTTTTGGAATGTCTTGACCTAGATGGCACAGAATCCAAAATGAGGCTTTGATTGCTCCTTAATTCAGCAGGGATCTCATCTACTAAGTTCATTAGGTCTAAATTGGATAAAATGGTACTTAGCCGACAGTTGTTCAGTGTGCAATTGCCTAATGATGGTGCATCCTTTGCCCAGAGTATAATCCATACTTACAGGCTATCATGTAATTTCCCACTTTGCCTACTCAGAGGACATTTCCTCACCATTAACTACCCGCTGCTATTGATCCTCCCTTTACTTTTAGATTCTTCTCTCTCAGCTATCAAACTTAACTTAAATCTGAAGCCCAATAGACAAATATTTTCTTTTATTGCTGAGTCGAGTCTAACACTGGCAAATATCCAATTAATAACATATACTTTAAAAAAACTATTTCCAACTCTGAACTCAATATGAAAGACATTAGTGAATGTATATCCAATTTTGTATATAATAAAACCACCCAGTTTAGTATATAACTCAAACCACCCTATTCAATATGTAACATAACCTTGATTGACTGACAAATCTGGGAAAGAGGTTAATAGCATTTTAATAATACAAAGTTTAACAGAAAGTTATTACTTTTAACTCTTGTTGAAGGTTCAAAATCTTTCTAAAATGTATTTCTCTGCTTTCTTTCCTTAATAAATACAATAGCAAAAACATAATGGAGTATTTCTTTGATGATTCAGGATACAATGTTGTTTAAGAGTAATTATTCTGTTATACAGTGAAAAGTATATGAATTTTAGTATCCAGCAGATATTGTTTCCATTCCTAGATAGCTCAGTGATATGAGGTAACTCATTTGATCACCTTGGGTCTTAGTTTACTTACATATGAAATTTAAATTGTAGATATTAACCAAGTTAACATGTATAAGTCAAAGGGCCTGGTTTTCTCTCCTCCAAATATTGAGGATGCAAAGAGAAAGGTGAAATCCATTGGTGCCTTAAAGAAAGGTATTACTGTTCAAAATCAATAAGTTGGGAGAAATAGGTGAGGTAAGGAGGAAGTGAGTGAGAATGATAAGCTTCATTTTAGAGAAGCTAACTTCGAAGTCCAACTCATTGTCCAGCAGTAATATACAATAAAAAATGGGCAATAATACAAGACTGGGGCATGGGAGAAGGATCAGAGAAAGAACCTACAGAAAGCTCGGGGAGTAGATAAGGCAATGATTAGGGAATGCAAAGAGTAAGAAGCTAGACAGGTAGAAATTTTTGCAATGTCATAAAAGAAAACAGATTTATTGGACATGCAGAAATGTGATCAAAGGTGATGACTGAGGAAAAGCTAGGAGGTATAATGATTGTTTTATCTTTCACTGACCTTTTAGATAGTAGTTTTCAAGGAGTGATAGAGATTGAAACTTGTTTGTCAGGGCTTAAGGAATAAATATGTGACAAAGTAGAGTATTATCTCAAAAAACATTCCATTGAATGAAAAAAGCAAGACAATCTCATGGTTAATAGGAATAATGATGAAGTAAAAAAAATATTTTGTGTTTTGTATTCTACTACAGGTAAGATATAAGCATAGCTGCAGTCAGCAAAAGGAAGTATTAGAAATTAAGGAAGGATATGGGAAGACTGATAAGTAAAGGATGGGAGAAGTAAGGATTGGAAATAATTAAAAGCTCAGTTGGAGAAATTAACTCTAAGAATAATTGATGCCTCTTCTCACACTGGAAAGAAGTAGAGCTAGATTAAAGATTTTTTTACATGGATGGAACTAGAGGATATTATGCTAAGTGAAATAAATCAATCAGATAAGGATAATTAACATGTGATTTCACTCATATGTGACATTTATATTTGTGAAGCAAAAGTATCTGTGGAAAGTCTTTTTTGTGTGAAATAGTCCTTTTTTAACCCAATCTTTGCTTTTTTGCTTCAGCTAAATAGGCAGATATTTTCTCATAAGAAGCTCTTTTAAGAAGCTCCTAGCTGCCTATGAGCCAGGCAGTACATACTATTTACTTTCAATTCAATTAAACTTAAAACTTCATTCATATCTAATGGTATAATTCTCCCAGATGGTATGAGCTAATTAGTACTCTGAATCACTCAAGCCTGAAAAATACAATTGACCCTGAACAACATGGGTTTGAACCACATGGTCCACTTATACATAGATTTTTTTCCAATAAATATATTGGGAAATTTTTGGAGAATTTTGACAATTTGAGAGAACTCAGATACACTATGTAGCCTAGAAATATTGAAAAAATAAAGAAAAAGTTGCATATGTCATAAAAGCAAAAATATATGTAGATATCAGTCTATTTTAACATTTATAATCATAAAACATATACAAATATATTATAAGAACTTAACATTTATCAAAGTGCGCACACTTACAGACTACATATGGCATCATTCCACAGCTGAGAGAAATGTAAGCAAATGTAAAGATACAGTATTAAATCATAACTGCATAAAGTTAAATGCAGTAATACTGTACTATTGTAATAATTTTGTAGTCACCTTCTGTTGCTATTGTGGGAGCTTGAGCATTACCAGTATCTGCCTAAAATCCTATCTGATACTAATCATCTCTGCCTGAGCATTTTGTCTCTCCAGTAAATTTTGTATTGCATAAAAAGCAATCTTTCAGGATTCTCATGTATTTTTTTATTGTGTTTACTGCAATACTGTAAACCTTGAACAACACCATGAGATCCACACAAAGTACTGCTTCTAGTGATGCTAGAAGTACTTCCAAGAGAGAAATCATGACATTACAAGATAATGGTGAACTGCTTCATAGGTACCATAGATTGAGATCTGCAGCTATAGGTGCCTGCCATTTTAAGATAAAAGAAACCAGTGTAAGGACTACTGTTTAGGGAAAAAAAAAAAAAAGGAAATTTGTGAAGATGTTACTATAACTATGCCAACAGGCACAAAAACCTTGCACTTTTTATGAAATACCTTTTTATCTCATATTGAAAATGCAGCTGTGGGTTCTGGATGCTATAAGAAAAGCATACTTCTGGACTCTATTACGATTTTGAAAAAAATGAAGTCACTATAAGAAAAACTTAAAGCAAAAGGAAGGTAAAGGGTCTAACGCTGGAGAATTTAATGCCAGCAAAGGATGGTTTGATAATTTTAGAAACAGGTTTGGCTTTAAAAAAATGTCAAGATAATAGGAGAAGCAGCGTTTGCCAATAAGAATCAGCAGATGAGTTCTCAGACACCTTTAAGAAAATCATTGAGGAGAAAGGATATCTCCCTTTTAATGCAGAAGAAAATGTGCTCTTCTGGGGGTGGAGGTATTGCCACAAAGAACATTTATTAATAAGGAAGAGAAGTGAGTCCAGGATTTAAGGCAGAAAAGGATAGGCTAATTCTGCTGTTTTGTGTGAATGCAGTCAAGTTTATGATCAGGACTTATCTATACAGCTGCTTGTAGGGAAGAGATAAACACCAGCTGACAGTCTTTTGGTTGTACAACAAGAAGATGTGGACCACAAGAACCCTTTTTCTAGATTGGTTCCACTGATGCTGTGTTTCTGAAGTCAAGAAGTACTTTTACAGTGAGGCACTGCCTCTTAAAGTTCTTTTGTTATTGGACAATGCCCCTGGCCACCCAGAACTCCATGAGTTCAACCCTGAAGGCATGAAGAGGATCTACCTGCCCCCAAACACAACTTCTCTAATTCAGCCTCTAGATCAGGATGTCATAATGACCTTTAAGGCTCATTATATGTTACTCTATGGAAGTGACTGTCAAGGCTATGAAAGCAGAATAGAGAGAACATCATAAAAGCCTAGAAGGATTACACCATTGAGGATGCCATCATTGTTACAGAAAAAGCCATAAAAGCCATTAAGGCCAAAACTAAATGCTTGCTGGAAAAACTATGGAAAAATATAAATGCTTGCTGGAAAAGGCCAAAACTAAATGCTTGCTGGAAAAATATGCATAACTTCATAGGATTTACAACAGAGCCATGGCAAAAAAAGGTCGGGGGTAAAAGGTGATATGGATCTTGGAGAAATTTAAGAGTTAATAGATACCATAGCAGAGGAATTAATAGAAGACCACTTGTTGGAGATGAGTGCTTCCAAACCAGTGCCAGACGATGAGGAAGAAGACGTAGAAGTAGTAGTATCAGAAAACAAATTTACATTAGACAATCTGGCGGAAGGGTTCTGATTATTCAAGACTGCTTTTAACTTCTTTTACAGCATGGGCCATTCCAAGATACTGGCAGTATAACTAAAGAAAAATTGGTATAAGGATTGGTACCATAAAGAAACATTTTCAGAGAAATGAAAACAAAAATATATTTCCATAAAGTTACAGCAAGTATGCCTGCTTCTCCTGCCTGCTCTTCTACCTCTAACACCCCTAAGACACAAGACCATTCCCTCTTCCTCCACCTCCTCCTTCATAGCCTATTCAACACAGCCTATTTGACATCCAGTGTGAAAAGACTTTTATGATGATCTACTTTCACTTAATGAATAATAAATAATAATCACTCCATACAGTTAATAAGCTTATTTGTTGTGCATATGAGTCTTCATGTGAAAATCTAACAGCTTTTAAGCAATAACTGTATGAGACATTTGTATAATCATCATCATCCTCACTTAAATATTCATTGTGTAGAACATCGTGTGCAAGACTTGTATGCTAATAGATAATCTATCCTTCCAAAGATATGTGTTAGTTTTCTCACTGTTTTAGAACTTTGCTTTCAAAGAATTATATTACCATATACTATGCCTCTCTCTTTCTCTCATAATTGGGGAGAAACTATGTATTGGCCAATCATCACAGGCTAAGTGTTTTTCTAAAAATGTAACAATGTTTCCAATACTATTTTAAGAATATGACTATAATACTGTATGCTTCTTTTTACTTAACAATTTATTTATTTATTTTAGAAAGAGAGCACAAGTGGGAGGAGCAAAGAGAGAGAGAGAGAAAGAATCTCCATCATACTCTGCCCTGAACATGGAGCCTGACACCAGGCTTGATCCCACATCCCTGAGATTACAACCAGAGTCAGATGTCTAACTGACTGCACCACTCAGGCACCTCTCTATGCCATAAGAATTTTATAATGGTTCATTCATTAGCATATTGAATAGACTAGCATGAAGCAACTATTGATTATACCAGGTTACTATAAAGCAATCTTATTGCTGCTTCTTTATCAATGCATGAATTAGAATACTTGTAAATAAGTACGAATTTCTTTTCCACATTCTTTACATTTTTTATGTCTACTGTTAGTGAAACATATAACATCTACAGTGTTTTGTAGCATAAAAGACAATATTGATGTAGGTAATGACAAGTGATTCATCTTGAAAACAGAGGATATAAACTTACGGCACTGATAATTATAACGATACTGTAAATTTATTTTCTCTTCCCTATGGTTTTCTTAATAACATTTTTTCTCCAGCTTGCTTTATTATAATAATAACTCACAGTATATAATACACATACAAAACATGTGATAATCAACTCTATACTACTGGTAGGACTTACATTCAACAGTAGGCTATTAGTAGTTAAGTTCTGGGGGAGTCGGGAGTCATATATGGATTTTTCACTGTGCAGGGGATTGGCACTCCAAACCCCCATGTTGTTCAAGGGTCAACTGCACAGCAGAATGCTAAGTACCTTGTATATATGAGCTTTTCAGTTTGTGTAAGATGACCATGGTAAGCAGTTGTAGTCACATTTTAACTATATTTGACAAGTCTTCCAGCTTTGTTAAATTTTCCATCATTTTTAACCAAACTTAATTTGAAAGTCTCTTTTGGGTTAGACCCAAATCTATGGTCCACTTCTTGTAAATGTTCGAAACTTAACCTTACCCCTGATTTCTTTCATGACCAATATTTTACTTTTGTCCAATTTCCTCATCACTAATTGTTATTCTATTGCATAGTATACATTTCTGTAAGGTATTCTAAATAAGTTTTGTAATGAGGTAGGAGATAGAAAGCACTGATAAAATAATACCTCAAGCTTTACAGAATTTGACAGAAACAAACTATTATTCAATTCAATCTATTTTCTGAGTGTCAAATTATGTGTCAGGAACTATTTTACTGGAATAAATCAGTGAACAAAACAAAGATCTCTGTGCCTGTGGAATTTATGCTCTACTGAATAAAACAGACAACCAACCAACATAGTAGGTAAATAACCTGGATAAGGAAGAGCAACCTTAGAGGGCTTTAAAGAAAGCCCTGAGGCAAAAAAATAATAATAAGGGAAGAAATTCTATGGGCATTTGAAGTAAGATACTGGCAGCATGTCCCATAACTATCATAACTACTACAATATGAAGTGGGTCAAGAATATGTAATACAGGGCATCAAACACCCCTCCCCAAAACTATGATAGCCTCTAGGTTCAAGTCAGCTGTTTCTGGTGCCACTCATATAGAGTAGAATTTGAACGGTGTCCTCTAGATATAAACAACATGTTTAGCCATAAGCTGGACATAAAGAGGTGAATAAGTTTGGGACCTGACAGGTTACACAAATAATTTTAATTATGCTATTAAATACTTCCCTACATACTCACAAAATAATTTACTTTGTAGAAGTAGTTTATCTTTGTGTTCTTTTCCTTTGCTTTGTACTATACTATGTCTCTATCAATTTGTTAAAGATTATAGAGAATATAATTAATTATATTAATTACTCCCACTTAAAATTATTTTATTTAAAGAGCAGAACCCTCTCCAGTTCACTTTTTGTTAAGTAGATTATAGCTGAATTGCAGTATAGTGAGACACTCTAATAAAATGTGTTGGTCAAACTACCCAAATCAGATTTTCAAGACCTGGAGGCCCAATAAACATAAATCATCACCAAAGGAACAACCTGACTTTTACATTAGCAAAAATAAAAAATAAAAAATAAAGGAAAAACAGATCTCTTCTCAGATTTTGTCAAATTCAACAACTCAGATCAGTAGATTATTGTCATAGGCTCAATAAGATATTTTGCAACATTCTAAACATTTGGTTAAGATCAGTTATTTCCTCTCTGTAAGATATATCCAAAGATTAAGGGAAAAGAATAAATTCTCTTCTGCAATTAAAAATGGAGTATGTTTGTTTTGGAAGCTGGGGAAGATGGCAAAGCAGGAGGATCCTGAACTCTCCTTATCCTACACTTACTGGATATTATCTACATCCAAGTCAATAAACTGGAGAGTGATTTGAAGACTGGCAGAACAAATTCACAAATAAATACAGAGAGAAGCTGCATCTGAAAGGTTAAGAAAGTCAGAAAGGCAGAGGGAGGCTGCCAGCAGGAGGAAAGGAGCTGCATGCATAGAGAGGGCAGAGAGACAGGCCCTTGTACCAAGGAGTTTGTGGGGAAGGTTAATCCCTGTAAACCAGCAGGACTTGCAGCCTAGAGCTTTAAAAGTCAGAGGACTCAGCAGTGGGCAAACAAGGAGGGTAAGTGATAGTTAGGTCTCTGCCCTGAAAGAGAAAACATCCTGAGCAGAAAGACAACACAGAAACAGTAGTTTACACAACAGGGTGGGGGAGAGGGGTGTTGGTGAATGGGAGACAATTTTGTCTAGAATGACTTCAGAGCACGTTGGGGACTTCTCCAAAAATGAGGGACCTGGCAGTTGTCATTTTCCTTCCCTGCTTCCCAGCATAAACACAGAGCCACCTGTAAGAAGTGGAGCTCAAGATACTTGCTATCTCTCCTGTTAGCAGTGCACTTGAGGATTCATATACTCCAAGCCTGCTAGCTTCAACCCTGGGCTCAGGGCAAATTTTGTTAGCATACACACTCCACCCAGCTGCTGGGTGCACAGCTGCCACCACATGACAAGCCTAGTCAAGCCTAGTCAATGCAATGCACACTAGTCACCCTGGCCCACATCCTTCAACAGGTGCATTGTTTTAGGGGATCTAACATAAGACTAGTGGCCCAGTGCAAATTCTGCTAACACTGCTGCCCCACTCCCAAGTTCCCTGGCAGTCATGTCCCACCACCAACCCCCCAGAGCTGGCCTGCCTGGGTCCCACTAACACCACAAAGAATAAGTACAGCCCATAACAGGAAGAGAGTCAGTGTACATAACTGCACTGAAAGAAAAAGTGACTCAGATACAATAGCAAGTTGTAAGCAACACACATAGGATTCTCTCCTGAAGTGCCAAGTTCTGGTGAACAGCAGACACCGCACTACAGGGCACTCCAGGACCTCTTCCTCATAAATTCACTACTTTCAAGAGCAGAAGACATAGCTGACCTTCTTAACATACAGAAACAGACACAAGAGACAGACAAAATAAGGATACAGAAAAATTTATTCCCAGTGAAAGAAAACAAGTTCATGGCCAGTGATCTAAGTGAAACAGATATAAGAAGTATATCTGATAGAGAAATTAAAGCAATGACTATAAGGATACTTACTGGACTTGAGAAAAGACTGGAATATATGAGTGAGACCCTTAAAAGAGATAAGGAATAACATAGCAGAGATAAAGAACTCAATAAGTGAAATGAGAAACACACTTGATGGAATGAATATCACAATGGAAGAAGCAGGGGAATGAATTAGTGACCTAGAAATAGAGTAATGGAAAGTAATCAAGCTGAAATAGAAAAAAAAGGGATTATATAAACGGAAAATATATTCCATTAAGCATAATAACATTTGTATGATAAGAGTCACAGAATAACAGAAAGAAAAGGAGGCAGAAAATTTATTTGAAGAAATAATTGCTGAAAACTTCTCTAATCTGGGGGAAGGAAACAGACATCCAGATTGAAGAGAATGGCCATAAAAATCAACAAAAGCAGACCCACACTAAGACACATTGCAATTAATTTGCAAAACATAATAAAGAAAAAAAATGTAAAAGCAGTAAGACAAAAAAGGTGGGTAATTTATAAGAGAAAACCCATAAGGCTAGCTGGGAATTTCTCAACAGAAAGTTGGCAAGCCAGAAGAGAGTGGCATGATCTATTCAAAGTACTCAGTGAGAAAAATCTGCAGCCAAGAATATTCTATCCAGCAAGGATATCATTCAGAATAGAAAGAGAGATAAAGAGTTTCGCAAACAAAAACTAAAGGAGTTAATGACCACTAAATCAGCCATGCAAGAAATATTAAAGGGGACTCTGAGTGGAAAGGAAAAACCAAAAGTGACATAATGAAGGTAGGAAACACAAAGCAGTAAAAATGAATATTTCTTTAAAGAAACCAGTCAAAGTACCCACCAAAAAAAGGATACAAAAATATAATAACACCTAAAATGTGGAAAGGAGAGAAGATAAGAATGGGCTCAAACTTAAAAGGCCATCAACTTAACATAGACTGCTATATGTAGAATATACATATAAAACTAATGGCAACCCTTTTTCAAAACCACTAATAAACATGCAAAGAATAAAGAGAAAGAAATAGATTTAAAACAAAGACTATAACAAGAGACAAAGGAGGACACTATATAATAATAAAGGGAACAATCTATTAAGAAGATATAACAATTATAATTATTTATGCATCTAACATAAGAGCACCCAAATATAAAAAAAAACAGTTAACAAACCTAAAGAAACTAACCAATAACATTACAATGACAGTGGGGGAGTTTAACATCCCACTTACATCAATGGACAGATTACCTTAACAGAAGATCAACAAGGAAACCATGGCTTTGAATGGCACACTGAACCAGATGGATTTAACAGATATATTCAGAACATTTCATTCTAATAAAGCAGAATACCACATTCTTTTCAAGTGCACATGTAACATTCTCCAGGATAGATCACATTATTAGCTCACAAAACAATCCTCAACAGTGATGCCTGGGTGGCTCAGCAGTTGAGTGCCTGCCTTCAGCTCAGGGCATGATCCTGGGGTCTTGGAATCAAGTCCCACATTGGGGTCCCTGCATGGAGCCTGCTTCTCTCTCTGCCTATGTCTCTGCCTCTCTCTGTGTCTCTCAGGAATAAATAAATAAAATCTTTAAAGAAAATCCTCAACAAATTCAAGAAAATAGGAGTGATACCACACATCTTTTCTGGACATAATGCTATGAAACTAGAAATCAACCACAAGAAAAATTTGGAAAGACCACAAAAACCTGGAGATTAAATAACATGCTACTAAGCAATGAATGAGTCAACTAGAAAATAAAAGAAGAAATTTAAAAGTACATGGAAAAAAATGAAAGTGAAAACACAAGTTCCAAAACATATGGGATGCAACAAACGTAGTTTTAAGAGGGTTGTTTACAGCAATACAGACCTGCCTCAAAAAGCCAGAAAAATCTCAAATAAGCAACCTCATATTAAAGTAACTAAAAAAAGAATCACAAACAAAAGCTAAAATCAGAAGTATGAAAGAAAGAATAAAAACTAGAGAAGAAATAAAAACTAAAAAACCTAAAGTAAACTAAAAAAAGAATCACAAACAAAAGCTAAAATCAGAAGTATGAAAGAAAGAATAAAAACTAGAGAAGAAATAAAAACTAAAAAACCATTAGAACCAATTAATGAAGCCAGGAGCTGGTTCCTTGAAAAGACCAATAAAACTGATAAACCTCTAGCCAGACTTGCCAAGATAAAAAGAGAAAGGACTCAAAGAAATAAAATCACAAATGAGAAAGGAGAAATAATCAACACAGTATAAATACAATTATGAGATAATATCATGAAAAATTATGTCAAAAAGTTAAGCAACCTAAAAGAAATGGATAAAGTCCTAGAAACATATAAACACCAAACTTGAAACAGGAAGAAATAGAAAATTTGAACAGACCAGTAACCAGTAAAGAAATTGAATGAATTAAAAAAAAAAAAAACTCTCAACAAACAAAAGTCCAGGACCAGATGGCCTCCCAGGCAAATTCTACCAAATATTTAAAGAAGCATTAATACCTATTCTTCTCAAAATATTCCAAGAACAGAAAAGAAAGAAAACTTCCAAATTCATTCTATGAAACCAGCATTATCCTGATACCAAAATCAGACACTACTAATAAAGAAAACTACAGGCTGATATCTCTGATGAGCACAGATACAAAAGTCCTCATTAATATTAGCAAACCAAATTCAAAAATACATTAAAAATTTCATTTACCATGATCATGTGGGATTTATTCCTGGGTTGTAAGAGTTGTTCAATATTCACAGATCAATCAATGTGATATATTACATCAAGAAGAGAAAGGAGAAGAACCATACAATCATTTCAGTAGATGTAGAAAAAGCATCTGACAAACAACATCCATTCATAATAAAAATCCTCAACAAAGTAGGTATAGAAGGAACATACCTCAAATTAATAAAGGCCTCAAATGAAAAACCCACAGCTAACATCATCCTTAATGCAGAAAAACTAAGAGCTTTTCCCCTAAGATAAGGAACAAGAGAGGGATGGCCACTTTCACCACTTTTATTCAACATAGTACAGGAAGTTCTAGCCACAGTAATCACACACCAAAAAGATATAAAAAGCATCCAGGGCATCTGGGTGGCTCAGTTGGTTAAGGGTCCAACTCTTGGTTTAGGCTCAGGTCATGATCTCACAGCCATGGGATCAAGCCCCACATCAGGCTCTACACTCAGCATGGAGTCTACTTGAGATTCTCATTCCCTTCCCCTGTGCTCCTCTCCCAACCTCTGTCAAATAAATAAATAAATAAAATTCTTTTAAAAAAAGAAAAGTCATCCAAATCAGCAAGGAAGAAATAAAATTTTCACTATTTGCAGATGACATGATGCTCTACATAGAAAACCCAAAGACTCCACCAAAAAACTGCTAAAACTGATGCACAAATTCAGCAAAGCCACAGGATACAAAATTGATGTACAGAAATCTGCTGCATTCCTATACACCAATAAAGAAGTAGGAGAAAGAAATTAAGAAAAAAATCCCATTTACAATTGCACCAAAAATACCTAGGAATAAACCTAACTAAAGAGATGAAAGACTTGTACTCTGCAAACTATAAAACACTGATGAAAGGACACAAAGAAATGGAAAGACATTCCATGCTCATGAATTGGAAGAACAAATATTTTTTTAAATGTCCATGCTACCCAAAGCAATTTATACAGTTGATCTAATTCCCATTTTTCACAGAGATAGAATAAACAACCCTAAAATTTGTATGGAACCATAAAAGACCCTGAACAGCCAGAGCAATCTTGAAAAAGAAAACCAAAGCTGGAGGCATCACAATTCCAAACTTCACGTTATATTACAAAGTTGTAGTAATCAAAACCATATAGTATTGGCACAAAAATAGACTCAGAGATCAATGAAACAGAATATAAAACTCAGAAATAAATCCTCAACTACATGGTCAATCTTTGACAAAGTAGAAAAATAATGCCCAATAGGAATAGTCTCTTCTACAATGGTGCTAGGGAAAAAAAAACTGGACAGTCACATGCAAAAGAATGAAACTGGAACATTTTCTTACACCATACACAAAAATAAATTCAAAATGGATGAAAGACTGCAATGTGAAACAGGAAACCATAAAAATCCTAGACGAGAACACAATAGTAACCTCTTTGACATCGGCCACAGCAACTTCTTTCTAGATATGCCTCCTGTGGTAAAGGAAACAAAAGCAAAAAAAGCTTTTGCACAGTGTAAAAAAAAATCGACAAAACTAAAAGGCAACCTATAGAAAGGGAGAAGATATTTGCAAATGACATATCCAATAAATATATGAAGAACTTAAAAAACTCAACACCCAAAAAACAAATAATCCAATTTAAAAATGGGCAGAAGAGATAATCAGACATTTTTCCAAAGAAGACATACAGATGGTCAACAGACATATGAAAAGATGCTCAACATCAGTAATCATCAGGGAATAGCAAATCAAAATTATAATGAGATTCACCTCACACCTGTGAGAATGGTTAACATCAAAAACACAAGAAACCACAAGTGTCGTGGAGGATGTGGAAAAAAAGGAACACTCCTGCATTGTTGGTGGGAATGTAAACTGGCAATAGCTACTCTGGGAAACAGTATGGAGGTTCATCAAAAAGTTAAAAATAGGGGCACCTGGGTGGCCCAGTTGATTAAACATCGGACTCTTGATTTGGGTTCAGGTCGTGACCTCAGTCTTGTAAGATTGAGTCCCATGTTGGGCTCTGCACTGGGCATGGAGTCTGCTTTTCCTCTCTCTATCACTTCCCCTCCCCCTCTTAAAAAAAAGGTTAAAAACAGAA